AAACCGGCTTCAAACGCTTGTCGACATTGTTTATAATAAACAAACATTTCCAAAAAATCGTATATAACTACATAACGTGGACATCTCAAAAACCTCTGACCACATTTTGATGAAACTTGCATAGTTTCGTTAAGAATATAACTTAAACTACTTAAATCAAAGGATCAAAGCGTGCCAAGTCTAATGTTTATACTCCTCTATTACTAATCTAAACATTTATTTTCTTAAAACAGACGTAGAAATATGTTTGCCATATGCCACAACACAAGACATGGGCGAATTGTTTATATTAATTCTAATTTTATAATTAATTTTTGTTAAAGGAAATCAACGTAACACACTCACTGTTTGACTGTAAAAAATATTTCTTTTTTTATTAAAAATAATTTAATATCTATAATTGCAATATTTGGGAATATGTGAGCATCATGTATCAACCAAATAATTTTGTTATCTGCTGCATTGTTTTTCATAACACCATGCGCCTATTTTATTTTAGTATAGAAGTTTTATTTTATTCTAGGTACATAGTCTTCACACATAATTATCAAATCAATGTACCTATACTAAATATTGTAAAAACTATTTACAAAAAGTAAACTAGTATGGAGTTTCTTGGCCATTCAACTCCATATGAAACCTTTTAGCCTTAGGGTTAGGGTTAGGGTTGAAGGACTCCTATTTCCGCAATTAGACTCCTGATTGGTCCGTTGTGCGTTAAAAGTCCTGGCTAATTTAGCCAGCCTAGCTCCTTCCAGAAGCACAGAAGTCTCCTTAGGCACTTCACAGGCTTCCCGGAGCGACCTCACTGTTCCGAGAATTTTTGCACGTTGATTAGCCACAGCCACGCATTCCAGGACTACGTGGGTGACTGTTTCCTCTGCGCTGAAAAAGCCTCTGCACAAGGGGCTGTATGTTGCGCCTAGGACAAAAAGATGTTTATTTAGAAGACAATGACCCGTTATTGTCCCTATCATTGTTTTAAGGTTGGTTCTATTTAAGCTTAGTAGTCGTTTTGTCAGTTGCGGGATCACTGCTGGCAGAGCCATTTTGGATTATTTGCAGACCGTACTACACGACCATCGTTGATGTTGGAGTTCAGCGGATCTCTGGCGAATCCAGGTTCGCACCAGCGAGAAGGGCAAGGGGAGGAGCGGATACGGGCCATCAGGCATCATTCCAGAGCCTCTTCTCGCAAGCTCGTCAGCAGCATCATTTCCGAGAGATCCACTGTGTCCCTTTATCCACTGCAAGATAATCCTACTGGTTCGGGTTATGGCCTCCAGTGCTTTGTGACACTCCAGTATTAGTTTGCTGTTGTTTTTTTTGTTTCCGAGCGCCATCAGCACGGATGCACTGTCGGATACGAATTTAATGCAAAAGTCATTAATCCCTAACCGCTACACGGCTCTGGCTGCTTCGGTTAAAGCGACACATTCACAATGAAAGATCGTGCTCTGTGTGCCTAAGGGTAGGTTTATGTTGATGTTGAGATCAAGAGAGAATATGCCAGCGCCTGAGCCAGACCTTGTTTTAGATGCATCTTTATATATACGTAGCTCATTCATGGTCGACCGATCGTGTTCTTCTTCTCTCAGTTGTATGTGATATTTCCTGTTAAATATTAATTGGTTAGTGATTCTATCACAGGGCGCAGCTATAACAGGTTGATACTCTATCGCCCTGTTGAGAATCACTATGTGTGCTCTATAGTGATTTTTTCCCCATAGATCCAGTACCATAAGCCTGATAGCAGCCAGGGCTGCCTCCTGCTGTATGTGTAGGTCTAGAGGTAAGATCTGCAGGGCTATCTCCATTGCTGCAGTTGGTGTTGTTTTCATGCAACCGCTAGCAGCGGACAAGGCAAGCCTTTGGAAGCGTACAAGTTTAGTGATTGCCGTTTGAAGTTCTGTTCTTGGCCACCAAACAAGGGCTCCGTAGGCTAGCATTGGCCTGATTATGGCAGTGTATATATGTGTTCTGTTTTTGATGGGTTGACAGATAGCTCGTGCTCATTGCACCATCTCTCAATCACTTTGAAAGCTTTTCTCATGAGGTCGCATAAGGTGCTTTCAAAGTTCCCAGATATTAAAATAGCTATGTCGTCCGCATAACCCACTGTGTAAAGATTGTCAGCGTTGAGTTTTGTGATAAGTTCGTTAACTACAAGGTTCCAAAGTAGCGGCGATAGAACACCTCCTTGTGGACAACCTCTGCTGACAATTCCTCGTGTTGTGTAGTTAACAGTGAACTGTATAGCTCGTTGTTTCAGCATGTTGTTTATCCACTCTATAAGGGTTGATGGTACTCCACATGTTCCTAGTGCTCTGGATATACTCGTGCAATTTGTTTTGTCACCCTTTTAGCTTTTTTAATAGGCCTAATTAAAATAAATAATTTAACTTTGACTTTAATCAAAGAAGGAGTAATTTTTAAATTAAGTTACTTACAAATTTTCATTTCAAAAAGAAAGTTGTTATTTTCAAGATAAGGACGTAAGTAGGGAAGGGTATGACGGGTCTGGGCGTTACTGCATACGATGTTTTGCATTTTCTGAGAAGATTTACTATGGTAATATATATATATTTTTTTACCATAGGAAAGTAGCGATTTCAACGAACTGAAAGCACACCAACTTTTTGAAAAAAGCTGAAATTTTGACGTCAGAATTTTTTTAAATTTCGTTAAAAAAAAAAGAAATTTGTAAAAGATAAAAATTAAAAACCAAAAACTTGGTTTTTTGAATTTTTCACATAAATTTTGAGGTTATGTGAAAAATGTGTGAATACAAAAGTTTTAGATCTTTTTATTACCTACAACTTTGCCATTTAACTTTCTTCGATAGGACTTTTAGATTTGCCGGAAATCGAGATAAACCGTTTTTTACCCTCAAAACTCCCCCCCCCCCCGCCCCTTCCCGACCTCAGATCGACCGTAATTTATTTTTCCTTTCATTTTGATCATATTCCCCTGCTTTTCTAATGGGTTTCATCCTACTGTAATTTTTTTTCACTTTTTATTTATTTTGAAGGCTATCTGCACTGGTCTAGTAGCGCTACAACCTTAGGTCTAGGCCTCAGATTTCTGAATCTGCTTTATGATTATTTGTCAATCTAATAGACAAGTATTTGATCAGCATCCTGTGCCTGACACCCGCCGTCGACTTTTTTGGGACTAGGGCAAGCCGGTTTCCTCAATATTCCTTCACCATTCGAGCGAATGTTAAATGCGCACATAGAAAAAGCAAAAAAAGCATTAAACTGCTAATATAAAGTTTTAACTTCAGGTTTGACGAATACTTCCAATTCCAATAATACTTTCGGTCTATAATGTCACGACGACGTATGCATGTGATGTCAAAAACGTATTTGTAATCTGAGGGTAAGGCGAGTAGCGAGCGAAATATGTGTAATCACAATCATAAAAACTTAACACGATATTACACCAGGCCTTACTTAATTCAAACTTTAAATATTCTACGCAAGGAGAACAATTCTTTCAACATTAAGCTACATCAAAGGTGTAAGGTTGTTGCAGAAATTAGCAAAAAGCACACAATGTGTGCCGTTATTGGTCAGGAAGCGTTATAATCCATAACAGCAAAGCGGCCAGTAAAATATCACGGTCCTCTACGGCCACGAATGATGTGGAATGGACCTTGGCTCAGCAAGGGCCTTTCACATCGGCCAATTCACCCTGTTTTATAAAGCTGGGGGAGGGCGGAGGGAGGAGACTGCGTGCCCAGGATTACGCACGGGGTTGCACAGTGCAACGGCGACGCTGTGGTCTCCTACGGTGACGTGGGTGGGCTGCAGGATCATCCTCCCTGGTCCTCTCCGCCTCTTCTTTATGGTGCATGATGGCTTCACAGAATCTCTGAAAGATTTCCCACGTGCCGTCACTGTCCAAGCTTGTGGATTTAGAGTTCTATTACACCTGGAGATTCTTCGCACCCCTGTCCCATCAAAGGGACGCCAAGAACTCCGGGACGTGGTTTTATTATTATTAGACTTTTTCATGATTACTGACTACTAGGGAAAAATATCGAGCAGTGGTTTCCCGTTGCCTTCTGCCCCAGACTTTTAAGGGATCATTTCCTCCCAAGGTCGCTGTAGCCTCTACTAATAATTCGTTGTCGGATCAGGTGTGTGGATATACCGCCACTGTTCGGTCGCCAGAGCCTCGTCCGTTATCTAGCAGCGAGCACCACTGTTAGTTCCGTTCTCCCCGACTTGTTATTAATTCCGAGAAAATTGGTAGTAAGTTACTAAACGAATCTTTTAGCAGACCATCGTGGCCAGACACATTGCAGCTAGGTTAGATATTGGGTAGGAAGGATGAATCGCATGGCCATAATGTGAGTATCGCAAACATGATACGCATGCAGCAAAGGAGATGCGGTAAATTTATCTTCTACCGTGTATATAAACCATAAGAAATATATAACTGAAAATTGAAATCTTAGTATCAGCTAAGCTTTTGGTGGCAGCATCGGTTCGATTAAATAGCATTTTAACTAGAAATACTTAAAAAATATTGCATGGGACAGAAAAAACTGTATGGAAATTATGTTTTAGCGTATCAATAAATTTGGAAAAAAAATCGATCTTGGAGTATTATAGCTTAAAAATCTCCAGGACAAATAATTGTACCCCTTAAATTTGTGGTCAAAACCGCCAAGCTGGCATCACTGAGTTCTTGTCGTGTGACAACAAATGACATCTGACCGTTGACGTAAGCGAATGATAATACAATTTTGAATATTGCCATGAATTTCATTTTCCAATAAGAGTTTCAGCTTTGTTTGTTATTGTATGTTAAATATTTGTTGTTCATGCTTAGAGTTTTAATGATAGGTTTATATGAAATGCGTCTAAATTATAAAATTTTATCTATCATAAAACGATTTCAATCAACGTACTTGAGTATTACGTTCTCGCAGTTATTTGTGTAAAGAAATTCGAAACTGAATTACATCCTGATATAAAATCACAATCACCATGCAAAGTAGCTTGGAGCACGAAGACTTGTTAATAAAACTACGTGCAAAATTAAACGAAGGTAAAATTAAGTTATGGGAACCTCCTTATGTATCTACTGAAGGAGATACGTCTCATAACTTTCAGGTAATTCTTTCAAAAATTATTATCTCGAATATGACATTTTGTTAAATTGTAATAATTTTTCAAACATTCATATATTTTATTACTAGACATTTTTATCTTGCAGGAGCTTGCAAACAGAATAGCATCTGAGCTATCTTTGGATATGACTATAGTTCTAGATGGTTTGCTTGAACTACAACAACATTCTGTTGATCGCTCAAAAGCTAACGAAGAATTCAAAGAAACAGGCTGTGCTACTTTGCGAGTTAAGGCTCCTGGAAGAGGTGAAAAAGGAGTATTTAAAGTCATGAAGAAACTGAATGTAATGGGTACAGAACTGATCAATACAATTTGTGAGGTGTTAGGAGTTGAAAACACTAGGTAAAAATCCTTCTAAATTCACATTTGCTCTAATAGTAGCTAGCTAATCAAGGGCTTAGAATGGACAAGTAAATCTGTCAATAGATTTCTCAATTCTTTTAATTCATCATATTTTTTAACAAAATCTTTGTATGGATCTGCAATAAGATTTATTTTAAATTTTCAGATTAAAATTGATATTCAATGGTAAGGTCATTAACCCCTCTCGCAGCCTAGAGGATCAAGGGGTTAAAAATGGAATTCAACTTATGGCATTAATTATGGCAGGTATGTTTATAAGTCATATATATATGATATTAATAATGATCATTTTGATCACTGTGTTAAAAGAAGATAAAAAAGTTGACTCAACACCTTGACCCAATTTTAGTAGTGAGCATACAAGTTGCCGTGGTGGATTACAATCTGTTGTATGGAAAAGAGTGAAGGCTCGTGTTAAAAAATGGACTCAAAAGAATGCCTAATGGTGATAATGTTAAAAAGAAATCATTAATAACTATATTATTATTTAACTATTAATAACTGTAGATAAAATAAAGAATATCTTTTAAAACGTCTTCATTTTAATAATTACAGTAGATAAATATTATATTAAGCTTATTAAATCTTTGTAAATTTAATTAAATAAAAGTGGAACTGAGTTAAAAGTAAAGTAATTTGGACCTGCCTTGTATTGATTTCAGAAAATACAGAGGCTCTTAAGAGAGAGGATGATATGTATCTTCAAATGAAACAAACTCTGGAGGATGCCACCCTGCTCTCAGAATGCTACGATGACCTTGGTGACGAGTCATATTTGAATGTTAGCTTTGCACACAGTATCTCATTCACCTTGGCGCTTTGAAAAGTCAAATATTTGTAGAATATTTTAATGTCATTTTAAAATATATTTTTCTTTGTTCCTTATCATCTCCAAACCATGATGATGTGATATCCATTACAAGTCTTGGGCGCGTGAGCGCCATTGAATAATTGTTATTTTACGCCGAGCACTAGTCTGCTATATTAACGCCAGTTATAGCCCAATTTAGCTTTAATTATTTTGTATAGTAAGAGTAGTGATATACTTTTATATAATATGTATAATAAAACATATTGCAGCTGGAAGACCAGACTGGAAAAACAGTCGATCTACCTAAGTCAGAACGGAGGTCTTTATTCATAGGACTCGCATTACACGAGAGGGGACGCACTTGTGTAAAGAAGCGGGAATATGCATTTGCTCTTGTGTTACTTTTGGAAGCTGATAGACAACTGAGGTATTTTTAATTTATTCATCATTGAATGTAAATGATGTATTATGTCGACTTTAAATAAATTTATGTTATTTGTTTTTGGTACCAATTCAAAGTTTGTGACACAAGCTGCGATTACCAACCAAGTAATTTTAATTGAGTTTAGAATTGGTTGTTGCCTGCCAAAGTACTCTTTTGTCTACCCTTTCGACATAACTTAAAATAACTTTTTTCATATAGGTAAATAAGTACACTTATGAATATCAACAGAAAGATGTTAAATTGATCACATTTACTACCAGTTCCATAGTAATTTAATTTCAGTGAATGTCGGGCCCAAATCCTAAACACGGTTGACAACTATGGAGTGCTGCAACTGGACATAGCGTGGTGCTACCTCGGCCTGCAAAGCCTTCAAGCCGCGAACGACGCGGCCGCGAGACTCGCGAAGGCCGAAGTGGCCTTCACCAACAGCTACGGACCGGAACAGCAGAGGCTTATCGCTCTCAAGGGCACGGACGGTGAGCTCAGTTTCTCATATATTAATGTAGTTTCAACGTTCGGATATTGTTTGATTTACTGTTTGGACTGTGACTGTTATTAGTGTTAATATATAAGGCTATTTGACTGTATGAAAAATAAAGTCAATAGTCACACGAATTCACTGATTTTGACGTAGCATGTTCATAATTTGCTTCACCTGTCTAATCCTAATACTATCTTGGAGTTTAATTTCGTTGAATACGGTTTTGACGTGACAACGTCTTATAATTCGATGGAGCCGGCTGCACGCACGAAAAAATATGACGCATGCGGCGTTACCTCGCTCTGAGGCGTTCCATTTAAGACTTGAAGTGCAAGCGATTATGTATCGATTATATTGTAATCGATCAATTTATTTGTGATTTCCATTAACCTCCTCCTCTCTATATCCATACAAAATATCTATCAAACGAATAAAATTAAAATTTTCTTTTGAAAATGCAACCAATTCCATCAGTATTTTCTTATGACGTTGTCACGTTCAACTATCGTCAGTAAACCTACATAAACAGACAACCGATTTTTGATCTAAATATACATATTATGTGTAATTTAAGAATGATACACATAAAAACTTGATGCTTAAGTGAGGCTGTGTACGTCATAGGGACTGGTGCGACGCCTTTTTTCCAGCGTCCAGCGTCAAGTATAGGATTTTTTATAATTCGTGCTTGTCTTTAGAAATTCGTCCGCGTCCTCCATGTACGGTTTAAGCACTCGCCCGGTACCGCACAACCCTCCCAAAGGCCGAGAACAAATTTTAAATTAACTTAAAACTTGCCCTCGAACCGGGAATCGAACCCGGTACCCCTCACCTAGCTGCCACTTAATAAGACCGCTAGACTATGAGGCCCTCTGGTGCGACGCCTTCTTGCCTAATAATAATAATAATAATAATGCCTTGTTTAATATGAAATTGAAATTCAATGTTTATAGAAATAAAAATAACAACTATAAATAATGGAAATGGTTTCTAAATACAAAACATACTGGGTAGTTTGTTTTACTTTTTTGTGGTTATTATTTCAGCCAACGAACGAGTACTCTTCATGAGGTTGTACCTCCTTCAGGGTATCGTGGCCTATCATCAGAACAATAGGACCCTGGCCAAGGAGTTACTCGATAAGGCTGAAAGAGAACTGAATAACCTGAGGGTGAGTTAATCATCAAATAAGTAAAGAGATATAAGTTATAATAGAGTGTTAAATCTGTGCAAATATGAAAATGCTTCACGCAGTTCTTTCACCAATATTCATAGCTCAATATTTGCTCTGGGGCCGTTCAAGTATTACATAAGCAGATTAACTGCAATGAATTAAAAAAAACTTCAATAATTCATCGCAAGAATATCGTACAAAAATGTGTAAGGTGGTACAATCGTAAGTTCGTATATTCTGCCACACACAATGGCGCGCAAATTTGTCTTAAGGAATGTTACATTATAACGTACATGTCATACTTTATTAAATTTATATCTCACGCAAATAATCATTTATTGAATAGTAAATTTTTTTTCAAAAGTAATACACCAAGTCGCTTTTTAAAGACTTTCGGAAGATCTTTTAATTCTTTTGGTAATTTATTGTAAACCTTAATTGCCATACAAAAGTTGTTTTTCCTAAACAGTTCCAGATTGATTTTCGGCACAGACAATTTCTCCCCATGTCTACTTCTTACTTCGACTTAAAAATATGTATGTTTCTTCCTTTTTTCTCTTATAGTCTAAGATCCGACCGCGTGATTTATACGTTCATATGTTTGATTAATAAAATATAATTTTTATCGATATTTATAACTAAACCAATGCAGATCCGCAAAGGTGGCCATCCAAATTTGGCCGCAATTAATTTTAATTAAAATGTAATTAATTATTTATTTTTGAACAATTACGTTCACTTGTAATTGTTAAAAAATATATTTCATTAGAAAGAAATATACCTGAGATACCGAGAAAGTTGAAGGTGCCATCCCTCACTTGGCCGCAACCTAATGTCAGCCAGGTGTAAACAGGTATAATTTCGTTAAATATATACGTTCATAATGTATTATCATGTTATACATACCAAATTGAAGATTAATTCTTTCCCTACATGATGAGATATAGGTGCCTATGCAAAAATGCCCGCAAATAGTGACTGCCAACGATTAAAGATAAATAAAAGCGAGAGAAACTTAAGATAAACACCCCATGTCGAATAAAGATAGAGCATCCCAGCTGCTTGTCGTTTTTATGCTACTGCGCATGCGTCCATAGATAAGGTGCTCAACTAGTAGCTCGCGTATTTGCTTGGAGTTTAAAATACTCCAAAAATTGAGCAGTAAAAATAATATGTCATAATAATTAATCTACCAAACTAGTGTTTTAAATATTTTTTTAATTATATTCAACTAAAACAATATTTTTTAACTGTGAAACGTCATTTTAAATATAAAATTTATCTTTTAAATAAATTTTGTTTTATTACAATTTTTAACAATATTAAGTTTCGTTTATTTTCGGTCTTCATAAAAAATGTCATAAAAATTACTATCCAAACCAGTGTTTTTAATTTTTTTTTTAATTATATCCAACTCAAACAATAACTTTGAACTGTAAGACGTTAATTTGAATCTATATTAAAATTTATCTTTATACACAAATGTTTTTTTTATTTTTATTTTCATCAATATAAAGTTTCGTTTATTTTCCTTGAATCCTTGATTAAAGAACTGAATTAAAAACAATGGTAACAGAATTAAACAGAATTGATTTTTTAATTCTGTTGAATTCTGTTTCCATTGCTTTTAATTCGGTTCTTTAATCAGGGATCTGATTAATATAAATTTTTCAGTTTTCAGCATAAGACTGTCAAAAACATATGATTGCAATATTCAGTACGGTATTTAGTTGAGCACCTTGCCTATGGACGCATGCGCAGTAGCATAAAAACGACAAGCAGCTGGGATGCTCTATCTTTATTCGACATGGGGTGTTTATCTTAAGTTTCTCTCGCTTTTATTTATCTTTAATCGTTGGCAGTCACTATTTGCGGGCATTTTTGCATAGGCACCTATATCTCATCATGTAGGGAAAGAATTAATCTTCAATTTGGTATGTATAACATGATAATACATTATGAACGTATATATTTAACGAAATTATACCTGTTTACACCTGGCTGACATTAGGTTGCGGCCAAGTGAGGGATGGCACCTTCAACTTTCTCGGTATCTCAGGTATATTTCTTTCTAATGAAATATATTTTTTAACAATTACAAGTGAACGTAATTGTTCAAAAATAAATAATTAATTACATTTTAATTAAAATTAATTGCGGCCAAATTTGGATGGCCACCTTTGCGGATCTGCATTGGTTTAGTTATAAATATCGATAAAAATTATATTTTATTAATCAAACATATGAACGTATAAATCACGCGGTCGGATCTCGTACTATTAATTCTTGGTGAAATTTAGGATTCTGCCTCGTCGTCTCATGATGAATCTTCTTCGTACATTGAATATATATTTCAGGTAGATGAGTCGTCAGTGCAAGCCCTGATGGAGTTGGGCTGGAGCGAGTGCCAAGCGTACGCGGGCCTCAGAGCGGCTCAAGGAGATGTGAACGGGGCCCATCACTACCTCGACACGGCCACGAGGCGAAGGGAAGTGGAGAGACGGGCCAATAGGGATGATAGGTGAGGTTATTGAAATTCATAACAATTTTAAATTAAAGTCTATATTAGCAAATACAGTGTACACTCTTTATAGCGAATTTTAAGGGATCGAGCGATTTCTTTCGTTATAGGGAGTGAATAGAAAAAAAACCCAAATTTAACCAATTACAATCATTTCTAATTTTATTACTTACTATTGGGAAATTGGGAAATTATTCTAAACTCATAACGCTTTTCTTTTACTGGCCATCTTGACAGTTTCAAAGTTTGTTTACGACGGATAATACACGATAGGTGGAGGTGGCGCGTTTTAGTAACTGAGATCAAAATGTATCTACCAATGTGATGTGGACCAATCACAATCTAATGAATGTTTCCGTTTTATATTTCTATTTCTCCGTTATGCACTTTGGTCTTCCAGAGAACAGCGCGCGCTAGGATTATGCGAAGACGGCAGCCCCGTGGATAAACAACTCACAGAGAGCCTAGTAGGAATGGGTTACTCCAGGAAACTGGCCGTTCTAGCTCTCAGGAACGCCAATAATAACGTCACGGATGCTGTCAGGATCATACAGGAGCAACCCGAATTGGTGAGATCTTACTCGTAATCTCTTTACCACATGCATAAACTAGGTTTTATTAATCATCCTTGATCACGAATTAGTTGGAGGACAGTGACCTCTCGGAAGAAGAGGAGTCAACGGAGCCGGTGGTACCGGATAATCAACTCCTCTCTGAGGTAAGACACATACATTAAAAAAGTGCGTGCGTACAAAGTGCACATGTCAGAAGTGAAACTTCTTTGGCAAACTAATTTTTAACTCTTGTTCATATTTATACAAATCTAAATCTTTATATTACCGAGACTTAGAGGGAAGATATGTTAAGATTATGTGTGGAATTTAATTGTCATTGATATATTGAGTGTCGAAAATTAATATAAATAATAAAAAAAATATTTTAATTTATTTCTTCGATAGTAAAAACATATGGCATTTTAATTTACAATTCGTCATTTGAGATTTCAATAAATTATTTTGCATAAAATGTAAAATACTAATATTTCATAAATTCTCTTCCCTTCTCACTTTCTCTCAATCGCTCTCTCCCTTTTCTTCGACAAAGACGCTGCACATCTTCGTGACGTTCGGTAAAATATTTACCCTCATGCGCCTAAAGAAGTGCATGCACTTCAAAATATAATATAAAATGCAAATGTAAGTTATGAGTGCGAATTTGTTAATCAGTCAGTCAATTATTATTGAATTGTTTTTCTCAGATAGCAGCAATTATTTTTTACATATATTTTAGCTATGTTCAATGGGGTTCGAGAGTGAGACAGCAAAATACGCTTTGAAGCTAAGTCGAAACGATTTGGTTCGAGCCTTGGACATCCTTCACAGCGAAGGGCCTTGTGCTGACCAGAGTGAGTGTTTTAACCGAGAGATTACGTTAAGTTAATTTATTATGATTATGACGTCACATTTGTGTTTAGATGACACTAACAATCCGTCCACCAGCACCGAAGCTAACACCAGTCGAAAGAGACAGAAAAAAGAAGAAAAGAGACGGAAGTGAGCAAATATGTTATTTGTATTTTAAATCACGTTTTATATAATTTTTATATTTATTTTTGTATTATTTTTGTAAGCCATTGAAAAAATGTATAATATTTATTTCGGTATAACATTGGTCTTTAGGAGAAAGGCCCGGCAACTTGCAGTCCATCGATTAAGGCAGACCATACGCTATGAAGACGACGACTATCTCAGCTCGCCGCTCTCTGAGGAGGAACATTTCCTGATACAATATAAGTCCTTGTTGTAAACATTTCAACTTAACATCGATGCCTATCAATATTGTAATGTATAAAGTGTTTGTTTTTTCATCTTTTATCGTCGTAAAGGTCGTAATGAATTTACATTTTCACAGGAATAGTTGCAGGATAATGATTTTACCTACCTTTTATATTATTGTAAATCTTATACTGAAGCATCGTACAAAATGCTCTACACTAGATGGCGCTGCATTACATTTAATTTTGCTTGATGCGGCCGGGGCTGGGTTCTAGTATTACGTAAGCACTATAGGGGGGAGGGGGGTGTTTGATTTTCTTATTTGGCGATTACGTCAACAGTAATTATTTACTTTTTTACACACATTACCCACACATTGTCTTGCATTGAAATGCATTTTCGACAAAAAAATTATACGTTTATGTACTATTATTTTTGAGAGCTTTGCTTACTTTTCCTGACAAGAGGAAGGGGGGGTAAATTGCATTACATCTACTTACGTAATACTTGAACGGCCCCGATGTCGCTGACATTTCACTTTTTACTTATGGCACAATATAGCGTTGTGTTCCTAATCTAAACGGGTTTTATAAGTTGAAATAAAATAACTTATGAAGAAGGTACTTTATTTTAAAATATTTAACAAAATGCTGTAACTGTCCCAGTTCCTAAGCGAGACGTATGACGTAACTCGAATAACCTTATTTATAAAAAGCAGTATAGTACACTGTCGTCTCTTTCTATCAAATAGTATTTTCGGTTTAATGAAAAGAGCCCGATGAAAGCGACTCGTCTCAACTTAAAGCCATTTGGAAATAATGAATAAACATAGCGTTTAGTATGTTTACTTGTATGTACGTTGTGTAATTGTTTTCTATTTTATAGGTGTTTTCAAATAAAATTATTTTGTGTACGAATGTTTACGTTTTATTTATTAACTATACATGTATAAGGATTTAATATTATAAATAATAAACATCAAAATTAAGGATTTATGGTGTAATGCAAAAGTTATATAAAATCAAACGCTTAGTTTTTTCTAAGTCATCTGTATCATTAAAGCTATTGTGTACGGTTCCTGGGTAGGTGAGGTTTCAAATACAGTGAAAACTCTTTATAACGAATTTTAAGGGAACGAGCTTTTTTATTCGTTATAGGGACGAAAGAATTAATGGGTTTTGTGTTAAACCAAACCAATTTAACAAATCTTCACGTTATAGACAGTTATAAAGAATGTACACTGTAATTTAAAAAAAATACTGTTTATTAACAGCCCGCGTTAAACAAAGGATATAAAATAATTTAATGCTAAATGAATACTTTGTAATGTAATGCTGAAGAGCCTGGGTCGGGCTATACTCTCGGTACGTAACTCGAACAATGTAGGTAATCGCCACGCTTTTAAAATTAAGAAAACTTGAGTGAGCAAAATGTACAGCCTCTGTTCATACATACTCCCTCAGGTATGTGTAAAATGAGAATGACTTTACAAAGTGATTCCCCTACATTTAAAGTCTAGGAAATGCCTAATCTCTTAACGTATGCTAACACTTCCACGGCACTACCGCTGGCAATAACAGTTGGATTTCGAGTTAGTACTGGCGCATTATCATAATCATTTGTCATGTGTTCATAAATAAGTACGGTGGATTAATTTTACGTTAACACAACTAGTGAGACACTAATTTTTAATCTGTCTCTTAATTACTTAAAGTAGCACTCTGTCTCAAGTGATTTAAAATACAAAGTGAAGCCTTCTAAATGGTTTAAAAAATTTCTTCCCTTCTAAAACAACTCAACACATTTTAAGGTGGTTTATTCTTAGAGAGGTTCATCAAGGCAAAGGTTTTTATTTTTTGTTTTGTCAGTACCTTTAAAAAAAGATAGACTACGCGTAATGAATCCTTAAAACGGATATAACGGCGAATGTACATTATTAAAATAACGGTCTATCGCCGACGACTTTTTTCTATAGAACAGGGTTTATCGGGTAGGAGGCTCATCTGAAATGACACCGCCGCCCATGGACACTCCATGGCCGTGGAGCTCGCGAATGCGTTGCCGGCTTTAAAGAGTATAGGCTAAAAATAAAAAATATTCCACATATTGTAAATCGATAGTCAATATTACATATTATTGATTAACTATAAACTCAAAGAACATGACTTCATTCTTAATATACTCGAACTTGTCCAAGCTGGCGTGTGGTATGAAGATGTACTGTCTCTTCATTTGTATGACGCCTTGATCCAAACTCTCGGTCGATTTGCTTCTTTCGTTGGCATCTTCCTTTAGCTTTGATTTTCGACGGAGCTCCAGAGATTTTACTATGTCCATTGCCTAAAAATCGTTGTTTAAAGAGATATAATGTCGAACTATTGACTTGACTTGATTATCAGTGGAGTAAACAACGGAACCACAAAGAATGTTATTTTTAAACAAGCTACTTAAAATTTGTAAGGGTCAATAAAATTCATAATATGGGGTGAAGTAGTCTTGGTCTTCGTTGCCTTTACCTGACTTCGATTAGCTGGTTGATCTTTTAGCACGATGTTGATGTTGAGGTCACAAGGCCACTCCAGAAGTGGGTCGTAAGGACCGGGCACCAACCGCACAGTACATGTGATGTGACGACCCTTCCACTTGCCTATACCGTTTAGATTTAGTTCCGCCTGTAATATGTATTATAATATTATATCTAGAAAATTAATGTTTCTCTTATAACTGAAATCCTCCGTACGATTCGACTCTTTATGTCAAACGAAATGAAAGCATTTATTTTTTATAAATTACGTCTTTGGAATGGCCTTGAAAAAGATTTTCTTGTGTATAAGCAGTGTTGATAAGGATAAATTGTATTGATTTTATACAGCGTACCTTTAATGTATACCCATAGTTGCTGGTCCGGAAGAGTGGGCTGGTCAACACGGTGTCCTTTTCCTTTGCGTCCTTCATGCGAGACGAGAACTTATCTATCCTCCAGATGAACTGACCTTTAAATAAATAACAAAATGCTGTCGTCCGTCCGTTCACGCAAAACAAAACGCGTTTCAATAAATTTTATCCAATTCAATTCATTCCATTATTTACATGCTATAATCAGCAATGTAAATGTTAAAAGTTTGTAAAGTTATGTATAAAAATTAATAAACTTATCAGTTAATTTAACTTCTGTTTTATTTTAACATAACTTTTTTTAAATTAATAATAACAATGGTTTTCTCGGGGTACTAAATTTACAGATTTATTTATAGCACTCGTTACATAAAAATATCTTTATCGATAAATAATTATTTAAAAAATGCTTAGTATTGTCTTTGCGTCACCGTGACCACGCACGCTGTAAAGCACGCGAAACGTCGGATAAATTTAAAATTATGTTAAATAGTTGTAAATTTATAATAATACATAACTTCAATCCGGTCAAAATAGTGTTTTATAAAAAAATGCTGTTTTACCAGTGTGGCTGCCGCTCTCTGGGTGTTCCAATGTCATTCTTGTCTGGAAATCTGCTAGTTCTGACCTTAGCTTGTTGTAACTTTTGGTTAGAGCACGTAGATCTCGTGAAATAATATCCATTTTGTTAGAGTGTTCTGCTGCTTCAGCTCTCACATCTGCCGTGGCCACTTCCAGCACCGCCAATCGATCAAATGCCTGGATATAAAGTAGTTATTTTAAAGCTACGTCTTTGTATACGCGATTTTGTACAAGAATGAATTGCCATAACGTTCAGATTATTTTATACGTGTTTTGCGCATCGAACTCACTGGATTCTCTGAAGTAGCATTTTGCAGTTGAACTCTTAGGGTAGAGAGATGTGCCAATTGCTGAGAAGATCGTCGTGCTTCCATCAGCTCGGCTTCCAATGCTGCTTGGTTTTCAGAATTGCGCTGTCTTTCCTCTTCCACAGTTTGCTTAATGTATTCGATTACCTCTTCTGAAAATGTTATGTTGTGAAAGTACATGATGGCAATGATCAAGTGCGCTACTGAGACATTAAAACTACGCCTGTCACTGATCATTTATGACTTAGGTATGGCTTCCGAATTGAAACATTTATTCTTTCATCGGGGACAAAATCCTGCCACCACTAGGATTAACTGGTTATTCATTCTAAATGAGAAGTGCGGGTGATATTTATTATCACCTCGTACTCGAGTTATGTAACTAATGTAAGTTAAGTTTCATTTATATATATTTAAGTTACTAATTACAAACGTCAATAAAATGTAAAGAAACATCACACATGAAGCAAATATGAGCTCTTTAGTTTTATGATGTTAAAATACAAGATGCAAGTTGTCTACACTTCACATTCTCATTTCCGATAATGTCCAATAACATTTAGATTTATAAACCCATAGATAAGCCAAATAAGTTATTGTTAGCGTCGCAACCCCATTCCCCTAATTATATGTAAGTTCATATTTTAAACCATTAAAGTCAGTTGTTACCCAGCTTCAAACAAAGTATTTATTTGATCCATACAAATACCGCCACCAAACTTAATTCTTGGCTATATTTATTATCAATAACAAACAACAAGATTCGACATTTCTATATAATACCTAGCTTATTGATAGTCCTTATTCTATTGTCATGTTGCGTGAGTGCCTGCTCTAACAGTTCTCTCTCGTTCTGCTCATGCACGATGCTGCTGATAGCACTTTCCAGTCGCATCGTGGTAGTCAGCTGCTGGCTTTGAAGCTCCTGAGCAAATCCAAATAGATAATGTGATATTTTGACAAAATCAATGTTTAAATGTAATAAAAGAATGCTATTAGATGTATAATATAGGATATACATTAATAACAGTGCATACTTGCAAAGCCAGCTGCACATTAGAAAGGTCGTGCTTAAACTGCGCCGCCCAGTTAGCTGATCTCTCTGCCTCATCGTCCAGTGCTGCTCGGAGAGACACAAGGGTGGAGAGGAAATGCTGGGCCCGATCTTCCACCAGCATTAGCTTAGAGCGAAGGTGTTCCAGTTCAGTTGATTGAATGTCGTGGTTGCTTGATTCTTCTGTTAGGACTAATCTATAGGGAATAAATGTTGGTCTATAATGATTATCATAAATGACAGCGGGGAGATATTCACGTTTTTGGCAACAAGGCAGTTGGCATTGAGTGTCCATGGGTGGTGATATCACTTAACATCAGGTGAGCCTCCTGCCCGTTCGCCCCCTGTTCTATAAAAAAAAAGTCACGGAAAGTTTTGCTAAATCTATTTGGCATGTTCTGAAGTTTTTATATGTTGGCTAGAAAACGTTTTCATCTGCTTATTACGTGTTACATTACATGTGTTGGTGGCGAATAAAAGCGTCCATCATTTTTACATTTTAAATGTGTTCTGTGATGAGATGTGTCTGATTACGTCATTTAATGTTTTAGTTCTGTTACTTTTCGTACTGTTCGTACTGAGCATCACATCTGGCACATAAGGATAAAATTTGTTTCTGTTATAAATGTAAAAGTTCGTTTGGTTTAATACACATTTGAGTGGTGGATCTTAATACTACTTGATGATGCTTTAAAGTGCCTAAAGAACAGCCAATACTACCCACTGTTATTTCGTTATACTCATATTGTTTATAATTACTTGATGTTAGCTAGTTCTTTCTCCAAATACGAGACACATTCGTCCAATGGCACAGCTCTAGGTGACCAAGTGTGTTTGTTTTGAGAAGGAGGTTCAGGGTCTGACACTCGGACATGGGTAGGGGATGCACTGTTGCGACTCTGAAAACACAAATAGATAAATGAGTTAGTTGCTTTATGATTTAAAAAGCATTAAGGATTTTAATTTTAGGCCTGGGCCTCAGATTTATGTGTCTGTTTCATGATCATTTGTCAATCTAATATGCAAATAGGTGTCAGCCTGTGCCTGACACACGCCGTCGACTGTTTGAGTCTGAGGCAAACCGGTTTACTCGCGATGTTTTTCTACAGCGTTCAAGCGAATGACAAATGCGCACATAAAAGGATCAGTCGGTGTTCGAAACTAAGACTAATTTAATGTTTTTTCTTTCTTTCTTCCAAAATCTTTATAAGACTGTTACAGGCTTTTGCCTTAATCACCAAGCCACTAACCTAACCTACCCTAGATCTCTTGCGTACTATTTTAAACTCTAATCGGATCGGACAACGATTTTATGTTTTAATTTTGAGGATTACCAAGCTCCACTTACCTTGTCCATCATGGGACAGTCCTTGACGTGTGTGTCCCTGTGCTTCCTCTGAATCCAAGCACCACAACGCAGCGGACACTGTTCCAATATACTGCCACATCGCTTTAAGTGATTCTAAAAGTTTAATTTACATGCTTCGTATACAATATTGTAATGTATCAATAATATTTTAATAGACATATCAGTTAATAACCTAATACAAATAAAAATCTGGCAATTTCGTAATAATATTCTTTATCATCTAGTATGAATTTTTGTCAATATCTTCAAGAAATAACAAAGATGGATTCACTGATAAGCATAAAGTATAATTTGTAGTACAATCGGTAAGACGTGCTTAAACCCAACATAATCCCCTGAAATCATCTTCGTGAGGTCACGTATACGATCTGTACAGCCTTGAAAGATTATAATTCACTTATTATTACATTAAAACGAATTCATACTTATGTAGACTCTTAGACGGTTGTACTGGAAAAAGGAAACGAGAAATATACACTGATATTAGGACCATGGTGGTTGTTATGGTCCGTATATATAGAGACGTATCATAATCTCTGTAGTACTGGCAGAATCATGTCAAGTAGGAAGATTAGTTTGACCAAACTCAAACTCAAACTCAAAATATCTTTATTCAAGTAGGTAACCAAGTACACTTTTGAATCGTCAAGTTAAATTAATCGTAAATTTACATTTACTACCAGTTCGCAAGTCAAGGGCGTAGAGCGGGTAAGAAGAACTGGCAAGAAACTTTCCGCCACTCTTTTTAATCGCCAAGTATTGTCATACAAATTGTTTGAACTGGAGCAATTCAATCCCAAGGATTAGGATCATTTAAGTAGTCCTCAAATTTATAAAAAGCTTTGTTGATTAATTTTCGTTTAACGAGGGCTTTGAATTTATTTAGTGATAATTCTCTAATTTCGCTTGGGAGCTTGTTGTAAAAACGAATACAATTTCCATATAAGGAGTGGTTTATCTTTTGGAGCCTGGTTGGTCGTACACTCAAATTAGTTCTATTTCGCGTATTATACTGGTGAAAGTCACCATTTGTTTTAAAATCGTTTATATTTTTTTGGACATACAACAAGGCTTCAAGAATATATTGACCAGACCTGTACTGATATTAGATTTGAGTTTGACTAAGTTTACTGATAGAGTACTCCCATTAGCTGCATTTCTTACGTGTTCCACTTATCAGTCGCTTTCTGATTCCCTTTTTAAACTAATTACTGACTTGGTACTTACTTGTAATTTTCCCATTTCGAATGAATCATTGCAAAAATAGCAGACGCTGTCCCGCCCATCGTTTTCAGTGACGTCACTCCTTTCTGTCTTAATCAAACTCATTTTGGACCCTATTTTTGCTACATTAATTTAAAATTAAATTATAATCATGCAAACCCATACTACACTATTATGAAATCACCATTATTAACTGAATATATTTTGATTCTCACTTATACCAAATAAATATTTTTTAAGTCAATTATAAAACATTTTGTTATTTTAATAACTTTTTCCATCCGATTTGAACAATAGTTTGGAAGTGACTAGAGTTGTGAATCAGTCCTTATCGGTGATATGAGATATCTGGCAATGTGCTTGATAAGGTGCGTCAATAATATTTAACATTTTTTATATAGTGGGTCAAGGTGTTGATTGCTAAAATTTAATAAAATTCCAATCTTAATGCTTGATAAGAATTAAGCAATAAGTAAGAAACTAAATATTTCTAAACAACTGCTTCCATAGCTTTTTTTTATAGAACAGGGGGCAAACAGGCAAGACGCTTACCTGATGTTAAGTGATACCGCCGCCCATGGACACTCGCAATGCCAGAGGGCTCGGGAGCGCGTTGCCGGCCTTTTAAGAATTGGTACGAACTTTTCTTGAAAGAACCTAAGTCGAATTGCTTCGGAAGTACTTCAGTGGGCAGCTGGTGTCACATAGTGGTGGTACGCTTAATTTTAAATAGTTTGATTTTTATGAGTTAATTGAGTTTGGTTCTCAATTCCAATATGAAAAATAATATTTCGTATGGATAGATAGAGAAACAGACTGTGATATGCCTGCCCAAGGCACCAAAACTGATAGTCGTACAAAACAATATCTCATTTTATATAAAAAATACATATTAGGTTGGGGAAAAAGTCTTTTCGCATTATACTATGTATGAACTTGTAATAAAATCTCTTTGGCTATACTATATGTATTTGCCTGTTTTTGTTATCATTGAAAGTTAAGATTTTAAACAAGATAGGTAATTCCAAATTCATATTAGGATAATGTGTGATTTTTATTTATTTTTCGTACCGCCAAGATAAGTGAATCTAATGAAGAAATTCTATACATTTTAAAATTTTACTACAAAAAAGGAAAACAAATTTTTTTCGATGTTTATGGACCTAGTGCAGTGTCTGTGAGAGTAGCACAAATTTAGTTTAAGCTTTTTCAATTTTTTTTCAAATTTATTTTTTGATTTTTTTTGACCGTCGATTCTGAACTCTACTGCGAAACACTGATGAGATTAAAGCAAGGAGTTGAGAGAAAGCGGCTGGAATTAATCAACAGAAGGGGTGTGGTTTTTCATCAAGATAACGCTAGACCTCACACATCTTCCAGCCACTCACCAAAAATTAAGAGAGCTTGGCTGGGAGGTGTTAATGCATCCGACGTATAGACCTGACCTTGCACCTTCAGATTTCCACCTGTTTCAGTCTTTTCAGAATTCTTTAGGCAGTGTCAGGTTAACATCACGAGAGGACTGCCAAAACCAATTGTCGCGGTATTTTGATCAGAAACCCCAAAATTTCTACAGCAATGGGATCATATCCCTACCTACAAGATGGCAAAAAGTTATAGAACAAAATGGTACCTACATACTTTAGTTAAATGTAATTAAACTATATTAAAAAATGTTGTAAATTTTCTTGAAAAATGCGAAGAAACTTATTCCCCAACCTATTATTATGTTTAAAACATAATATGCTATTAATGATTATTTTATTATTTTTTAAAGTATACATTTATTCAAATTTACCTCATTCCGGAAATTCATATCGTTATTTACTTTCTTAATATTAAGTCCTATCTCAACAACATGTGTGTAGTCCACCCAAAGTAAAGGTCGTCAACTTATTTCATTATGCAAATGTACGGAATAGCGCTCGCGCAAGATGTTTGCTCAATTTGAAACTTCTGCAGTCATTAATGTCATTCGATAGTGAATGGACGGCGTCACAGCAGTCGCTAAAAGTTACTATTTCGTGTTAAGTGTTATATGTGCAGTGAAACACAAAAAGGATTTTTGTGTAAGTTCTTTGAAGTATTATGTCCTAAAGGGTTTTTTGTTGACAGAAATTTAATTTACCTTCGGTTAATTGGGCAATTTTACAAGATAATTGGCCTTATTAAAAAAATTGTTTATTTCGAGTAGCTGTGAAGGTGTAGGAAACTCTTCTGCGTGTATCGTAATGTTAGGTGAAAAAAAATATTAAATCAAATAGGAGGAAAATTTTAATTATTCTTGCGAGAATTAAATGATTTTATTCTTGGAACTTCTACACTACATTGTAACGTTGTTATATTTTTATTAGAACGGATTTAAAAATATGGTCAGAAAAAAATAAATCGAATTTGTTTATTATGTTTTTTTTATGTAATAAGAGGCAAACGGGCTGAAGAAGAATAGCTAGAAAGCAATTACTTTGATTTTGATAATTTTAATGAATAATAAATTATTATTAAATAGATAATATTATAAACTACTGTATATATTTTTATTTTTTTTATTAAAAGAAGGTAATATATTATGTATTGTAATAATTAAACACTATCTATCTAAACAATAATTATCAAAATTTTCAGAGGCTGAATTATACGTTTTTATTATTAGTAAAATAATATTTATTTGCACAAAGGAAATGTTATTCGATTCCTACTAGATTTTAATGCATTAAAAATTAACTTTAATTCATAATGATGATAACGTGACGCAAGTAGACAATAAGATGACTTATCTTTGTAAAAACTTGTTTACTTTGAAGGGTATGGTTTGTTCATTTTGTTTATCGAATTGACGGAAGGCTTTATGCGATTTTACTCATTTGATTCTTATTAATTCAATGTATGTTAGAAGTAGCTACGCTAATTACAAAATTTAGTAATAATTTTACAAGGTAAACATTATATATCTATCACATTATTTACACAAAATGTTTTTATCCGATGTTGAAATCATTCAAGAATGAGAACTAAACCTTTTGAGTAAAAAACCTAGTGTAGTGAATATAAGTGCAAGTGCGCTATCTCGGGCACACGAAAGTGTCAAAACATAATAGAACACCAAGACTGTTAATGAACATTACCTTAGATTAAGCTATTCACTCACAGCTCCTTACAAACGTTGTGTAAAACAAAAAACTTGGCGATTAAAAAGAGTGGCGGAGAGTTTATTGCCAATTCTTCTTTTACGTTCTACGCCCTTGATTTGCGAACTGGCAGTAAATGTAAAATTAGAAGCATTTAATGAATATTTCTTTTGTGACGTTCATAAGTGTACATTGTGTTACCTACATTCAGAATAAATGATTTTGACTTTTGACACTAGAATTGTAGAAAATTAAGTCAACATAATATTTCTTATTAGTCATAATTATTGTATAGGCTAGATTGTAATTCATGTAAAGTCGCACTCTTTTTTGTGAGCTTCATTGTAGGAAAATAAAAAATAATTCAAAGGTTGAGTACGTGTAAAAATAATATATATTGTCTTGATTTGACTACGAAGGATACATTACGACGAAGACAATTATTGTCCAAATAATTTTTAATAAAACAATAAATTCTCACTGTTTACATAAACTTAAATCCATATTTAAGGTCATATGATGTAGGTTACATTAAATGAAGAAATTTCGGAAACTTGTTCAACGAGACATTTATCTGTACGGTGTACGGGTTCTGCTAGAGATTTTTACTAATTATTTGCAAGTGTCAACTTATTGTAGGTATACTATACAGGTAATTCAATAGAAGAATTTAGAAAATAAATGTATATATCAAATTATTTATTGAATGTCGAGGCTATCAACTTCTTGACACCACGGGCCTGTGGTCCGGTGGTACGGTCCTTTCCAAGGACAAAACCATTCGAATTACTGTGAATACACGTTAGTCCTTCCGTCGTTCAAGTCAGGTATTCCCAACCATTCTTGTGCCATGCCCCACCTTATGCCCAATATGTCACATAAATAATTTATATATAAAAAAATAATTGTTCATTAAAGAAATTTAAAGGTTTTTGGAAGAAATCACTAGGGAAATGTTAGCAAAAATAATGTAAATTTTCAAAACAATGAAAATTCAAATTCCAAATTGAATAAAGATTTTTCTATATTAATTTAGTGCGATACTTGCGCTTGCTGCACAGAGAAATTATATAAGCTCCAATTTGGTTAGCTACAGTCTCAAGTCTCCACGTTGTCTTATTGCCCCCCTGTAGGGTGTGGGCTCCCCGTAGGGAAACACCGTCTTTGGCCTCACGTTGGGAAGTGCCTAAACATTGGTAAGTTAAAAAAAATTGTATACAAGAACAGAGTGTCTTTCCATTTTAATAAAGATTGTGTTAGTGTTATCCTTTTTAGTCTTCAGTTAGGCTAGATCATAATGTTGAATGAAGTTTTTTTGCCTAAACATTGGTAAGTTAAAAAAAATTGTATACAAGAACTGAGTGTCTTTCCATTTTAATAAAGATTGTGTTAGTGTTATCCTTTTTAGTCTTCAGTTAGGCTAGATCATAATGTTGAATGAGGTTTTTTGCCTAAACATTGGTTGAAGTTAAAAAAAAATTGTATACAAGACACTGAGTGTCTTTCCATTTTGGGAACTAAAGATTGTGTTAGTGTTATCCTTTTTAGTCTTCAGTTAGGCTAGATCATAATGTTGAATGAAGTTTTTTTGCCTAAACATTGGTAAGTTAAAAAAAATTGTATACAAGAACAGAGTGTCTTTCCATTTTAATAAAGATTGTGTTAGTGTTATCCTTTTTAGTCTTCAGTTAGGCTAGATCATAATGTTGAATTTAGTTTTTTTAAAATTAAAAAAAAATCAATCAAATGCGATTATCAATATCTCTCGATATCCTAATAATCCAATCATTTTTTTAAGAACTTTCTTGGGCTTCGGATATGAATGTATTTAAGTATAGGAAATCAAAATGCTTTCAAAACATTAGAGGTACTAAAAGTAGTAAGTGGTGGTCAACCAGGGAATAGGTATTGCGTTAAACTCGCATTTATTATATCAGTTAAATGTTTAATTTAATTGCGTATTGTGTTGATTGATAC